TACAAAAACAAAATTTTAAGATCAAATAATAAAATCAAAACAATGTGGCATATAATAAAAGAAAGAACAAATAAAAATATTATAAAAGAAAACGATAACCTTAAACTAAAAATAAACGATACTTTAACTTCAGACCCGATTTTAATAGCAAATACTTTTAATAGGTTCTATGCTTCAATAGGCAAAAACTGTAACCCGCTAGCACACGGTCGAACTACACAGAATGTGTTGAATAATTCTATATATCTCAGCCTAGTGACCCCAAGGGAAGTATATAAAATAATAAAAAATTTAAAAAATAAAATGAGTTTCGGGATAGACGAATTACCACCAACCTTAATCAAACATTGTGCAGATGAGTTAACTCTACCACTCTCTAAACTAATCAACCAATCTCTCACAGAGGGCATCTTCCCAGACATGTTAAAAAAGGCATTAATAACACCCATCCACAAAAAAAAAATTCAAAAACCAATATCGATAATTATCGCCCCATAGCATTACTCCCCACAATCTCAAAAGTTTTCGAAAAAGCAATGTTCGAACGTGTGTATAATTTCTGCGAGAAATATAAAATTTTTAGTGAATGTCAGAACGGCTTTCGTAAAAATCGGTCCACCGTACTAGCAGTATATAAATATATTCAAGATATTTTAAAGATATTAAGCAATAAAGAATATGCAATAGGAATACTATTAGATATGAGCAAAGCATACGATAAGGTGCAATATAACATATTGATTAATAAATTAAATAGTATAGGTATTCGTGGGATTACTTTGGAATGGTTCAAATCATACTTGCAAGATAGAGAACAATATGTAGAAATAGAATACTTTGATAATAATAATATAGTGAAAGTCAGATCAAATAAAATAATTATAAATGCTTCAATACCCCAAGGTAGTGTATTGGGATGTTTATTATTTTTAATATATATCAACAATCTCAGTGAAACTATGGTTAACCCATGTGTTATGTTTGCGGATGATATCTCTATCTTAGCACCATGTCGTAACGTAAATAATATAAATGATATACTATATAAAATATTTAAAACTACTGACCAATGGATGAAAGAGCATAACCTAGAAATTAACTATAAAAAAACAAAAATTTTGCCTTTTACCCTTATCAAAAACCACCGATTAAAATCAATTTTTCTTACAAAAATACAAAAATAGAGTCAGTAAATGAACACACTCTACTCGGTTTAATTCTAGATAGCCACATTAACTGGAAATCTCAAATTCAGAAAATTCGTAACAAATTGTCTAGCTTTGTATATGCACTAAGTGAAATAAAAAAGACAACTGACCTCCAGACTGCGTTAATTACTTATAATGCCTATGCACAGGCGTGGCTAAGGTATGGTATTATCCTGTGGGGCAACAGTACAGATGCACCCACCATCTTCATCTTACAGAAAAAGCTAATTCGCATTATGTCTAACATAAAGAATACTGAAAGTTGTCGTCCTCATTTTAAGAAACTTAAACTTCTTACCTTAACTTGTATTTATATATTGGAATTATGCAAATTCGTGCGAAAATACCCTAATTTATATGTAAAAAGAGAAACTAAAAATACGGCTTATAGTTTTAGATATGAAAATAAATTATTGCTACCACCCTCTAAAATGAAGCTCTTCTCATCAGGCCCTTACGCAATGTCCATAACTGTCTATAATAAACTACCAAACTCATTAAAAAACGAAACAAATGATAATATTTTTATAAGACAATTAAAAGTGTTTCTAATCAATAAATGTTATTATACTTTATATGAATACCTGAATGACAAATGCAATACTTTAAATAAATGAATGATTAATATGAATAATTATGGACTAATAAATGATATAATAATAATGAATGATATAATAATAATAATGAATTATAAAACATCTATGCGCCCTCCTCTGTTCTAATTTTCTAATTTGCTATACCCAGCAGGGTCCATATTGTGATAATTTAATTTATTAATTTGTACATTATGGAATGCAAATAAATATTGAGTATTGAGTATTGAGCTATTGACATAAATTCTCCTTTTGATTGGAGGATTGTGCCTATCAACTTTACTGAGGGGACAAAGTGCCTGCTCCACTGTACAGTTAGGTAAATTTTAAATTACCAAATCAAGTTATCTATTCAAACTCTTATTTTTTATACGACTGTACTGTTTCAAATCATTTATATTTAAAAAATCAATAAATGACTGACTAACAGTGGAAACTCAAATTTTGCAGTATCCCCATCTAACAAGCTCCAACAAACTTGTGTCTGAAGTCGAGTCTTTGCTGAACAAAGTCTCGGATTGGGGGCTACTAAATCTAGTCCAGTTTAATCCTCAGAAGACACAAGTTTGCGCGTTTACCGCTAAAAAGAACCCCTTTGTCGTATCTCCTCAGTTTCAAGGCACTCCCCTTCTTGCCTCAGCCAGTATCGGTATCCTCGGAGTCGACATATCGAGTGACGTGCAGTTTCGTGGTCACTTAGAAAAGAAGGCCAAATTGGTCTCTAAATAGCTTGGCGTGCTCAGCAGAGCGGGACAGTATTTCATGCCGGCACACCGCCTGCAAATTTACAAGGCGCAGGTTCGGCCTCACATGGAATACTGTTCCCATCTCTGGGCAGGGGCTCCCCAGTGCCAGCTCCTTCCACTTGACCGCATCCAGCGCAGAGCGGCTCGATTCGTCGACGACCGAGCCCTTTCCGATCGGCTCGATTCATTGGCACTGCGAAGAGATGTTGCATCCCTTTGCATTTTCTTTCGCATCTACCATGGGGAGTGCTCTGAGGAGTTGTTCGGATTAATGCCAGCCGCCAAATTTCACGAACGCACATCGCGGCAGAACTCCCGATACCATCCACACCATCTGGATGATTGGCGGTCCACCACTGTGCGATTTAGAAGATGTTTTCTTCCTGGTACGACTTCCTTGTGGAATCGATTACCATCAGTGATTTTTCCGGACCGATACGACTTAGGGACCTTCAAGAAATGAGCGTATTCCTTTTTAAAAGGCCGGTAACGCATCTGCAATTCCCTCCCTGGTGTTGCAGTTGTTCATGGGCGGCGGTAGTCACTTACCATCAAGTGAGCCGCATGCTTGTTTGCCCCCTCTCCTATAAAAAAGAACTGACTCTTTGCTCTTTGCTCTAACATGAAAAACAGATTAAAATCACCTACTATACAATGTAGACCCTGTTCTTCCAGGACGCTAGTACAAGTACCATAAAATTTCTCATAAGTTGCATTTTTTACAAGAGATGGTAAATAAATGGCACAGAAGGCAATTTGATCAATTGAATGTGATGCTGGCGCACCGACTAAAACTCAAAGATCTTCCAGATCCGACTCTCAAGCGTACTACTGGCAAAACATTATCTCTTCTATATACTAGGATTAAATAGTTCACCACTCGAAACAGAATCATTAAAACAGGTCTCAGTGAGTATTATTATATCATTATTGTTACATAATATTTGATTACAGAAACCATGTGTTTTGGTGTTAAGACCACTACAATTTTGATAGTACAATTTTAGCGTATCGAATCTTATGCCATACCACATAAAAAACAAAGAACAACCAGAATAATTTACATAAGATTTTTCAGGGTTTCCAAACTTTTTACCAAAATATATTCACTCTCATCAGTCTTCTTAATAAACACTTAGCCATTACGCACCCACACATATTTATATCCTCTGTCCTTTGCTTTTCTCTTTAATGTGCCAGTAAATTCATCTCTGGACTATAGCATCTAAAACTTTACCTAATGCATGAATAATTAATACAGATCTATGGTCAAATATATTTGAAACTTCGCTTATGAATTGAACACCTTTAAAAGATTTTTTATATAGTATATATTATGTGATTAGAGATCTAGATAACGTTTTTTGCACAGTACTTAAAAAAAACTTATTAGGTATTGAATCTGAAGCGGCAAGCTTGCAAAATACTGCAAACTCTGTTCATGCACAATTACAATTACTTCACGCTAATGTGCATTCACTTTTTGAAATTACACAAAATTCTGTGTCATGTCTTTTTTATATAGAATAGGGTGACAAACAAGCACACAGTCCACCTGATGGTAAGTGGATGCTGTGGCCCATAGACATCTACATTTATCTTCAGTTAAGAATCAAAATGCAGATGCATTGTCACTCCTGAGGACTAAGATGGAATTCTTCGTTTCCAGTAAAAAGGGCCTCAGGTTTTCTACACTCACCGTACTAAACACAGTAGCATTAAGCTGCTATTTCACGCTGGTATTTTGTGAGAGTGTGGTTCTACCCCGGTCGAGCCGACCCATTCTTGCTACTACGATTATATAGCTGCAGCGTGGTTCTACCACGTATAAATGTCTTTCGATGAATTGTACACAGCCTGGAAGTACTTAGTAATTAATCTGTAATTTCTTGTCCACCAGTAGCGACTCTTTGACTAAAGGTCACAAAATTTACAAATGTCCAAATTTGATTTGATTGATTTTTAATAGACATTGCAACATTATCTTTGAATCTTCTAGAATCTTTTTAGAAATTATGAAAAACAAGGGACCCAACTTTAAGCCTTGCGGTACAACAGTTGGTGTCTGTGAGTTTGATTCTTGAAGTGTAGCCGTGAATGATGACTGACCGAGACTTATTTTGTAAATATGGTTCACACCATTGCAACAATGAACCATGAATTTCCAGTGCTGATTTTTTTTTCACTAAGACAAAGTGATCTATTAGGTCAATAGCTTTATTGAAATCTATGTATATAGATACGTCATTTACAAATCTTATTAAGTTAGATGCAATATATTTTTTTGGACAAAACTCCGTGTTGTTATGGATGGGTGATCTCTTTATTGTGCCTGTGAATTCATCTCTGGATTAGCGATTCCCGTTATACATAAAATCATTCGTTCAACCTTTCTATTCCTATTTTAAACATCGTTTTACTTATTTCTCTTTCAACAAGCATAATTTGTTCAGGCGAGTTCGTGGTCGAGCGGCAAGCATGAAGTACGTGGTGCGGTGACGTGGGCGGGCGGGCGACTGCGGCTGTCGGGCCGCTGGTCCGAGGCGCTCTACGCCGGGGAGCCGCCCGCCGCGCGCTGTCTGTGGAGACCCGGTAGCTCACCTCGATACCTCGATACCTCGACACACCGCACACTCACACCGACACACTGACACTGACTCACCGCACACTGACATGACATCCCGCCTTTGACTCACGACACACTGCTCGCTAACATTGACTTAACTTAATACTTATGACACTAATACAAGGACATTAACACACCGCACACTTGCACAATAATAATAATAATAATAATCATCTTTATTCAGGCAAATTACACCCATATCCAGTAAAATCAATAAATTTAAAATCAGTCTCCTAAATTTTAGCAATAATTAAATCAATTTCAATACAAAATAACAATTTTAAAATAATAAATCCAGTCAATGTAAATAGGCAGTAATGTCAGTATATAAATAAAATAATGAAATAAAATAACATAAAATTAAAATTAATAAATAAATAACAGAATTACACACATTTATCAGTCTGGAGACGAGATCAATAATTAAAACTTTCTCTGAGGCAACTGTGCTGCAATAAATTAAATTAAAATCAATCTACACAATTAAAGCAATACAATACATAAATCAATATCAACAAGATAACAACTTTAAAATAATACATCCGGTCAATTTCAATAAGCATTAATGTCAGTATATAGAATAATCTAAGCAGATAAAATAAAATTAATACATAATTAACAAAAAAAAAACTATAAGAACACACTTTTATTAGACAGGAGACGAGATTAATCAATACTTTCTCAGAGGCAGCTGGTCTGCGACATGCCTTTCGCAACAATGCCGGATAATATAACCGTCTAACCTTCCTGAGATCATCGCTAAGACAGTGTTGGAGCTGGCCCGCACTCTGCGCACCAGGGACGCGGCCCGCTTGCGCATGGTGGCATTGAAGCAATCGATGCGCGCATCCGCAAACATACCAGAGGCGCTACAAAACCGAGGCAACCCCATCACCGCCCTAAACGCATTATTGTATTGGACGCGGAGGACGCTGTAACTCTTCCTACTGTAATTAGCCCATAAGCTGCACGAGTAGAGCGATGTGCAGAACGCTCGGAAGAGTGTAACCTTGACCTCCTTTGAACACCGCGTAAACCTACGGGCGATCATGTTAGCTCTGACAGACAGCGCCCTACGTTCCCGGTCCATATCAGCGTGATCCCTTAGGTCGAAGGTGAGTAAATGCCCCAGATACTGAAACTGTTTAACCCTTTCCAGGGGTACACCATTCAATTTTATTTTAGGTACATTATCAGGACATTTCGCACCAGCGGCCTCAAAGATCATGTATTGACTCTTTCTGACATTATACAATAATCCGTGACCACATGCATATTCCTCGCATTTCCGTATCAGCTTCCTCAGGCCGCAGACCGATGCACTCAGCAGCACCATGTCGTCTGCATAACTCAGATTATTGACACAAACACCGTCAATGTGGCAGCCGACATGCTGACTGCTAAGCGCTACGATCAGCCCGTTGATATATAGATTGAATAGGGTTGGTGATGTTAAGCCACCTTGCCTGACTCCACACTCAAGCCGATACGGATCCGACATTACCCCCGCCCACCTGACACTATTGGCCTGGTTTGCGTACCAGTACCGGAACATGCTGATAAGTTCTTGAGGCAAGCCTATGCTTTGCAGCTTGTCCCACAGCAGGTTATATGTCACCAGGTCAAAGGCCTTGGAAAGGTCGAGGAAGCACGCGTACACAGGCGTCCTGCGATCAGTGTAGTATTTGACGGTTTGCTTTAGACACAATATGGCGCTTTCAGTGGACAAGCGAGGACGAAATCCAAACTGGTTATCGTGGAGCGTTACATGTTTATTCAACTGTGTGTTGAGCAAACCGTCAAACACCTTTGCAATTACGGTGGCAAGAGAAATGGGCCGATAGTTACACTTGTCAGTCAAGTCACCCGTCTTGTTCTTCACTATGGGTACCACCACGGTTTTCATGAAATCTGCGGGCAGGTAGGAATGGCTCACACACAGAGAGTAGAACAAAGCCGCATGTTGCAAGTGCTCAACACTAAGTCCGTCATGTCCCGGGGACTTGCCTCCTGACATATCTCCTATAGCTTTTGTTGCGTTTTTTGCCAGGAAACTAGTCCCCACTGTTTGTGTGTCCAGGTCAGTGCCGAACACTTCCACTACCGGATCCAACAGGGACTTTACAGAAAACTGGCTCTTGAAAAGATTTGCGATGTCCTTGGGATTGTTCATGCCATCGACGCACACAGGAAGGCCAGGTCGTACATTTATTTTACTGGTGGACTTCCAGAAGCCGCGAAAATCTCCTTTGCTATGTTTCACAGCAAGAGCGTCCATCTTTATTTGGTCTTGATGATTTTGGCACCATTTTAATCGGGACTTGAACACTCTTCTGCTATCACACATTTCTTTGTAAAGAAAACCTGACCTGGGTCTACCACACAATACCCAGTCATTGAATTTAGATCTGGCCTCTCTGTGAGCCTCACTGACGTGTCTGTTCCACCCAGCTAATACAGATAGTACAACACGTGACACACAGCAACTCTGACATTAACTCCCCTCTGCACAAACACACCGTCACACTGACACTGACCCACCGCGGCACTGACGCTGACCCTCCACGACAGATGCATTTACTCACAGCCACACTTACGCTGACACACCACACAATAGCAAACCTCGTAGAGAAGACTTATCGCCAAAGTAGCTTTGGCGATAGGTCTTGATATCATCAACGCCTTTGACTCTTCACCCTGGGATGCAATCAAGAGAGCACTATTACGTCATTAGGTTCTCCCTACCTAAAAGGGTTAATCGGGGATAACCTACACAACAAGTACATTTTGTACATGGGGCAAGATAGTAGGAACATCCGGTGGAAGATTAAACGTGGGGTGCCACAGGGTCACTTCTACGGAACCTCGCGTATGATGCGGTTCTGCGGTTCGATATTCCCGCTGATGTTAATATCGTGTGATATACTGACGATACGTAGTCGCCAACGGGAAAATTTTAACATTTTTTTTATAGTATAGGGTGACAAACGAGCACACAATCCACCTGATGGTAAATGGTTGCTGTGGCCCATAGACACACGTGAGGACTAAGACGGAATGCCTCTTTTCCATTAAAAAGGGTCTCCGGTTCTCTACATTCACCATACGAATCACAGCAGTGTTAGGGTGCTATTTTACGTTGGTATTCTTTTGGTCCTTCCCCGGTCCAGCCGACCCATTCGTGCTACAACTATACTACTAATATCGCTGCAGCATGGCTCTACTATGGCCAAGGATATAGCCGAGCTTGGGACGGAAGTCATTGTTGCGTAAATAATAATAGACAATATAACTTTCCAAATGTATGTACTTAATAAATGAATGAATTATCATGTGCGCATCGTCAGTGGTTAGAACATATTTTGATATGATACGAATTGATCATTAACAGGTGCAATGCCACCGGACAATGAGCTGTACTACGGGTTCACTCGCTTCGCCATGGAGCTTAACGAGCTGGAGCCCGGCATGAAGGACGTGCTACCTCACACTGACACCAGGCTTAGGTATGTCACTAATTTTTTGAAATTTAGTTATTTTTAAAATTTATGTGCCTCCTATTCAAAACGCTTATTAAATCTATACTATATCTAATTTAAAGCAATGCCCATAAATCTGTTTATGTTGATAATTTTTCTCATTTAATTGAATTTAAAGAAACAGATAGAGAAACTTTTTTATTCAATATAGATTATAAATAAAACTTATTGAAAGTCACTCTTTTGTTTATTTTACCACTGGTATGGAAAAAAACCTCTGTCCTGGGAAGAACACACCAGAAACTTTTTTAAAAAAAATAACAGTAACATTTATATTTAACTACACAAAACAAATTGAAAACAGCTAATAACGATCACCTCTTTCCCGAGGGTTATTATCATTCATAATTTCCATATAATAACCCTTTTTATGCAAACTTTGTTGAATAAAGTTTTTGAACTTCGAGGTGGTCAAATTTTGTATATTTTCTGGGATTTTGTTATAAAAGCATATACAGGTTGTCCAGTAAGTAATGAATAACTCCGCAGGTACTAGAGGGAGGCACTTTTGCCACTCAGAAAAAAATAACATAAAAAAATACAGGGTTACTGGGAACTCAACAATTTTTTTTATAGGATAGGGTGACAAACGAGCACACAGTCCACCTGATGGTAAGTGGTTACTGTGACCCATAGACATCTACATCTATCCTCAATAAAGACTCAAGATGCAGATGCGTTGTCATCCGTGAGGACTAGGATGGAATGCCTCTTTGCCAGTAAAAAGGGTCTCCGGTTCTCTACACTCACCATACGAAACACAGCAGCGTCAAGCTGCTATTTTACGCTGGTTTTCTGTGAATACCTGGCAGGGCGTGATAAAGGAGTCAAAATGCTACAAATTTGACATATGAGTGATATGTATTGCCGTAAATAAACAGGTCTTGAGATATACGGATTTTAAAGAGTTTTCAATAATCTCCCAGAAAACCTGTAGAATTTAAGGAATTAATTATTTTTATAATGTCAGTGTTGTTTATAGGAACTAGATAAATAGAATTGGGATAAAATGTCAATTTAGATGCATAGTCATTATTGGTTGTTATTGTATTTGATGTTTTAATGTCATTAGTTAAATTTATAAAGTAATTGTTAAACACATCCGCTATTTTATCTGACTGATAATATGTATTGTCACTAGTAGTTATTGTAGTTTTGTCATTACTAACTGCCACATCATTATTAACGTTTTTTATTATTCGACAAGCTGCCCTACTTTTCTTGCTAGAATTGAGTAGGTAGCGTGTATTGTCAAGTTTCTGAGCTTTCTGAATGCAATCCTTAAAATGTTTGTATATTTTTTGTTGCGGCCCTCAGTTGCCCCGACAGAAGTCGACTGTACTAGGGCCCATGAGTAACACTCTCGACGGGCAACCAGAGGGTTCGGGCCCAAGTGGCCTATGGATAATTATTATGTAGTGGCTGGATAAACAAACACAAACTTACCGAGTTCCGGAGGTAGGGTCGACCACAAGGTACCGTCAGGGGTAAGTAAATGGTTCGTGTAAGTGGTGTAAGAAAGTGTGTACATGTGACCTGACGTCACCGATGTATACGGGCAGCAAACCTACATGCGTTGCTCTGCTCCACAATGTTCGATCACTCCAGTGGGCGTACACCGTTATCTGAACTCAAGTCTAACGTCACTTAGCACAAAAATATAATCGTAGACGAACGCGATCTCCTCTCGGGTCACAAAGTTTTAGCGTTTCACCCAACAAAGCAAAATGTCTTATTACGATATTAAAATGCCACACAAACAACTCGTAGATGCAAATTAATGGCAATCGAAGTTAAGTTAATCACTCAAACCCCAAGATAAGCCTCGTTGTCACGTATACGAACGAAATAAGACAACGCAAAGGAGGCGGTCTTACGCGACCTAACGATTCTAACGTAACTTCCCGACATCTAACCGACACGGCCGTCGCGGACAATTGATTGTTCCAGACTGTTCACACGGCCGTCGCGTGCAAAAACGAATGCCCGCCGGCCCAAGCTGTCAAACAGGTTTATCGCCCGAGACGAGTGTTTTTGCAAGTTTTAAGTGTTACGATTTGGCCTAAACATTTGTAATATATTTTCTTATTTCTTTTTTTGTTTGCTGTTGAAAGACGGTATTTCAAATATAAACGTCTTTTATTAATGCTACATTTTTTAATACCCCTTGTAATCCATTTGTTTTTAATAGGTTTATTTGTTATTTTTACAATTATTTTAAGGAAACACAAATTATAAAATAAGGTCAGAGTATCATGAAAGTAGTTGAAAGCCAAGTTAGTATCCTCGTCCTCATATACAGCAAGTGATAGGGCTGAAATATAGGACACAAATTTTTTCACGTTTTCATTACTAAGGTCTCTTTTTTTCCTCAAACCAAAACGATTACCTAATATGACTTATATTTATATTTGCCGGAAAAGTTATTGTTGGGCAAGTTTCATGATCAGATAGCGCTAAATAGTGAATATTTGGTTGCACATTAGAAAGATTACTGGCAAACAAATGTGGTTATTTAAGTTATGTTTGTATAATATGGAATTAAGTTTTTTAGAATTAATATCATTTTTCAAAATATCTGTCTTCCAATCTCCACAAACTACAATTCTTTTATAATTTTTCTTAGTAAGTTTATTTAAAAGTTGATTAAAATTTTCAAAAAATAATTTTATATTAGTATTTGGAATCCGATATATACATACGACCCAAATGCCAAGTGTAACTTCAATCTCAATACCACAAAATTCAAATGTATAAATTAGCGGGTTGGGTAGGTTTTTTATGGGTTGATAATCTAATTCTTTCCTAACTGATTTGGTCTTGAAAAAGCCGTTGCTAATTTGTAATTTTTAAGCATTAAATTAGACTCTGTACCCTGTTTCATAAAGGTTTCACTAATGCATATTATATCGATACTAATATTTTTATTTTCAAACTCAAGAATTGCAAGTTCAAGTAAATCTTTTTTATGTAAAACCCCAGCAATGTTTTGATGTAGTAGGATATAATTTTTTTTAATTATCGAAAAAAGATTGAATCTTTACCGTTATTCATTGGATTGGACAGACAATTTAAACATTTATTATAATAAAAATAACCGATATGAAATTTTGGTTTTAAGATTAATAAGAATTCCAACGCAAATAAGACTATTTATTTATTTATTTACGACTAGAGAAACTGATACAATATTTTTAATTTTACCACTTGTTTTAAACCTATTTTTATTTTTGTGTACATACATTATATTTTCGTAAATGTATTGAGAGTCCAAAGTTAATATATATAATATATTGTCGTAGTGTGAAGTTTATAAAGGATAGTGAAAGCAAGGAGTAACTTGCAGGCCCGACCAGCGCGCCCTAGAGGAGGGGGACGTGGAGACGGCGGAGCAGCTCAAGCACCAGCTCGAGCAGGCGCAGCGCGAGCGCCGCCGCGACGCGCACGACCACACGCCGGCCTGGTTCCGGTGAGACTCGCGCACGCTCACATTCACTCGCACGCACACAAACACTTGCACAAACGTACGTATACACGCACACACACTTACAAACGCACGCACGTAAACGCACATACACACGCATACAAACACACATGTGCACGCACTTACACACATTCACACGCACGCAAGCACGTACACGCACACATGCTGTACTCACGCATACACACATGCATACGCACGCACGTTCCACGTACTCGTACTTACACACACATGCACCCCCACGCACGCACAAATGCACAAGAACGCTCGTACACTCTCGCACACACACGCGCACGCACATACGATCTCGCTCGACAACGCAGAGGCGGCTTTAATTTGAGTTCGATAACTTATAGCTTATAGCTTTAGACTTATAGCTGTATAAATAGAATTTGATAAGTAACCTCTACTTAGTACTACCCTTAACAAGCCCACATAAACGTCTACAGACCCTTAAAAGGTTCGAACCATTAGGGTATACTCATCCGGAAATATATAAATAAAATATAAGTGTCTGTTTGTAAAGTCAAAATAACAGCTTTTTACTAATTGCATATGAAAGTATAATATACGGTACTTATAACAAAAACACAATTTTTAAAATTTTTGTCTGTCTATCTGTTTTTATTCCGGCTAATCTCCGAAACGGCTGGACCGATTTTACCGGGACTTATACTGTTAGATAGTTCATGTTGTAAGGAGTAACTTAGGCTACTTATATTTTAAAAAATAATTAGGGTTCCGCGCCACAAAATTAAAAACCTAAATTACACGCGGGCGAAGTCGCAGGGAAAAGCTAGTAGTAATTTTTTTTATACAGAATAAGAGTGACAAACGAGCACATAGTCCACCTAATGGTAAGTGGATGCTGCGGCTCATAGACATCTATATTTATCCTTAATTAAGAATCAAAATACAGATGCGTTGTCACCCCTGAGGACTGCGATGGAATGCCTCGTTTCCAGTAAAAAGGGTCTCCGGTTCTCTACACTCACCATACGAAAAACAGCAGCATTGAGCCGCTATTTTACGCTGGTATTTTGTGAGAGCGTGGTCCTTCCCCGGTCGAGCCGACCCATACGTGCTGCAACCACAATATAGCTGCAGCATGGCTCTACCACGTGCAGAAACCCATAAATGCTGTGACCCGTCACACGTCACCGTGACACGTCTATCCTCGATTAAGAATCAAAATGTTGATTCATTATCACCTCTGAACCACTAACACAGAATACCTCATTATCAGTTATGAGACTCTTTAGTTTTTCACACGAAACATTTTTTTTTTTATTTCAGCAAAGTGACTGAGAACGGTGAAGAGATGTGGGTGTTCACGGGCGAGTACTGGAAAGCCAGAGAGGCGGGCTTCCCAGATTTAAAGGCGCCTGTTATATGGTGACCGCGCCTTGCCATACACGTGCGTATCCATTTTACAGTCATATCGTCCGTCATACTGTCTGTGGTCTTCACCTATCACTTCCTATCAGGTATGGCTGTATGAATTGGGCTGATAATTCCTTTGTTTGTTTTTACACGACTGCCCCAGAAGGACAGTAATGTTTTTCAAGTGTATGTATGTATGTATTTCTATTTCTTTGGCACGCTCGGTACTCTATAGCGTAAACGGCTTGACGGATTTTAACTATAGGATGTCCTTAAATTCATCTTAGTTCTGGAAATGACATAGGTTATATTTTTTTTTCCTTTCAGTAGGTTTTCTAAGTAATCGGATTTTATTACTGTTCCAACCATTAGGCTTATCTTTAGGTTTTGTATATTATTATAAGGTCAGGGTTAAAATCGTCTGTCACTGTACTTATCTTTAAGATCGGCTCCATACGGAGGCCCCGCTGGCCCAGTACTGTTCGCCAAACAAATAAATCGACAAATCAACCACAACACTTGTATTTTTTTGGAGTTATTGTGATGGTGTTTCCTTTCTTTACAACAACATAATATAATTGATATGCACAGTATCGTAAAAACACTTCAGCCATTTCTAAATCAAACATATTGGCTCTGCCTATCTTAAACCAACATCATCTTTCACATTTGTTACAAGACATTTCTTTTTATTAATTTCTTTACATTAATTTCTTTACATTTATTTAATAATATAATTTCTGTTGCAGCGTATACCGCCATCCGAGGTGCTCTGTTAATGGTTGAATACCGTCGCTTCCCGCTTAGCATTAAATTAGAGCTTTTACACAATTATAGCAGTTATTAGTAACAGTCGATTATATTACTTTTAAGGTATGTCACATGGATGATATTTCTAACATTTTTATATTTAAAATATATAGATATGTCATAGTGGTTGTGGCCGTTATATCTATACATGTAAATGAAATTGAAGTGTCCGTTTGTAATATCTAGGGGGTTATTTACATGCTATTAAGACATGAATAACTTTTTTTTTAATTTTTGTCTGTCTGAGCTAACCTTCGGAATAGTTGAACAAATTGTAATGCAACTTCACAAACATAGAGAGAAATGTCAGGAGTGATATAGGATATATTTTATTTGACATATGTAAGGTCAACTAATGATTTCACAATAACCATTGTGACACATATCTATATTTTTAGATTAATATATTATTAATTAATACATGATTACCGAAAATTCCTATAGAACTGTACTTCATTTACAATTTTTTGTATATTTTACTAATATAAACACTAAATAGGTATTTAGGTTCTGATAATGTGTTATAGAGTTTGTCTATTAACATCTGATAGTTACAAACATGCGTGACGAGAGCATTTGCTAGCACTTGCCAATTTAATAAAAACTATCGCATTTAAGTTCTATATGCGTTTGTATTTTTATTACGTGATAAGAATACTAAATAATTGTAGTTCAAGTTTTGTTTTTAAGTGAAATTTAAGAAGATATTACATAAAATTGCTGTTTTTTTTTTACAACTGTTTTGTATATTGTAATATTTGAATATGTTGAATCGCTTAATTAAGCTGCGATGGTTTTAAGAAAAAAACAATTTGCCTTATCGAGACATAGAGTAGAGAACAGAGAGTGTAAAATGTAAGATGATATTATAAAAATATTATTTCTAAAATTTGCAACACCATGTATTTTAAAAGAAGTATGTATGAATATGAATTACTGTATATCTAAATTATTCTATATCTACTTAAATACCAACTTAACCTGTTTGGCTCCTAAAAGGAATTTTGTATCATAGATACGTTTTATTTCACTAAGTTTTTTTTTTTTCTTATATACATAGTGTTTCGTATTTTGTGGCTGTGAAAGATAAAGTTTCCGTTGTTGTTTTCATATGTTTTTAGTTTTTATTCTGTTTTAACTAGATACGTTCTGTTTTTTTATATACAATAAAAATATAATGTTGGTAAAAAAATTATCCATGAGATAAAATAAAAATAAAAAGCCATTGTTATAAAATCGAATATATTTTTGCTTTCAATGAAGTATAGCATTAATCAAAAATCAAATGTATATATTAATAAACGCCATAGCAATATAACATGCGATAGTTTAAGATTGATCTGTATTTTAAGTTTGAAAGATATTATGGTTTAGTGTAATTTTATTATAATCAATTTAAAAAAAATAAGTAAAATCATTTTTACGTTCTTTCACTAACGGACTCTTCCATGTTGTTTTAAAGATCATATATAAAACGTCACGCATCGCATGTAAATATTACTTGTGAAACTGTATTTAATTAATAAACAAGTTACCTAATGTAACTTATATAAATAATTATAATTTCATAACAATTTTACTTTAATACCGTAACAATGGGATTTTGAAACACGCTGTGATGTGTCAATTCTTATTAATAATCACTCGAGGCTGTGGAATATCAAAATGCTTATAACTGTACAAATAACATGTCGCAAATATTGAAATGGTGTTATAGTAAAGGAGCCAGCAAATACGTAAATTAATATTAATCAAGCTTAATACACCAAAGTTGACAACTTTTAATTATAAATTGGCAGATGTCTCTGTGACTGAAATTGAGGGAGGAGGATGTCTCGGCATCATATTTGTAGTTTTAGCGTATGTTCCGATATACTATGACCACTGTAAGATGTGACGTCAATTCAGTATGACGGCTCCGTGGCGCAGTAGCTTAGCAATCAGTTGTTGCGCTGGGGGCCGCGGGTTCGAATCCCGCACGGAACAAGTATTTGTATGGCCTACAAATAATTGTTCCGGGTCTGGATGTTTGTCTTTGTGCAATTTATTGCCTCCACGACATAGGAGAAAATCCTAGTGTGGGTGTAATGTTTTTTTAAAAAAGAAAAGAAAAGAAAAAGAAAGTATACTGTGAAGCCGTTCCTTTTTAGTTTGCTAAACTGGTTACTGTTTAAAACGGAACGCAGCCCAGTATACTGTCATCCCCATTTTTCGACACTGTTTTCAAATGAAAATATTTATCAGGTACACGTTTTCTGTTCAACAAGAAAAAATATTATTTGAACGTTGTTGCTTTTAAAATTTAATGTCCGAGTTTATTTTAATAACAATCATTCGTGGAAGCTATTAAATATCTGGGCGCTGTTATGTTTTTTGATCACGCAATCAAAGTACTGAGAGCACCTTACTTCGAAAGCGCCAGTGCTCACAGTATAAAAATGGCGGCAATTTATGACGTCATATATTTCCCTAAAGTACTGCGCCAGTATACTGACAGTTAATAACGGAACGAATAATGATTTCTTATATTTACGTGAACACTACACGTTTAAATAAAAGTAATTTTACGAATTTTATCGCATAAATTAACTTATTTTATATTCCCGATGTTTCGATCACTTTACAAACATTATTATTATTTACAAAAATAAATAATTTTTAATCTGGAGGTAGCCGTTGTTAACTATGACATTGGGACGTCATACACTTCAGTCAACCTCGTGACCATGGATGCTGTTCAAGTGCTCGAAACGTCGGGAATATAAAATAAGTTAATATACGCGATAAAAACCGTAAAATTAGTTTTATTTAAACGTAACGAATATTTCACCAGTGAGAGCACTGAACAGTGCTCGCATTGTATATCGGAACACACCCTTATTATGTAGTTTCTTTGTAACACATATATTATATCAACTATAGTTAAAATATATTAATGCGTTATACTTTGCAAAATCATTGTGAAAATTGTTGTTAGACGATAAAATCATATGAAGTATTGGTATTGGTGGTGGTGTTGGTGATTGGTAGTGATATTGGTAAGGGTTTACAGTAGCCCATGGACTCCTGCAATCAACTTCAAACAAATAAATAAATAATAACAAATGAACAAGAAATATGACGGTTACATATTATTACAATTTTAAGTGCTGATTTACCACGTGCTCGGCGGTAAAGGAAAACATCGTGAGGAAACCAGCATGTATGAAAGAATTTAAAATAATATTTCGAAGACATGTAAAGTTCGCCAACATACATTGGGGCAGCGCGGCGGACATTTCTTTGTCCTAAAACTCTCACAGAAGTGAGAGGAGGCCTGTGCCCGGCAGTGGGACGTATATAGGCTGCAACTTTATGTGCAAACATACTTCGTCAATAACATACAAATACATATTATAAATGTAGGTATTATATTTAGCAAAAAACTAAAGAAAAACTATTTGAGAAATTCATTGCTATAAAATATATATTTCTTATTACAATACGCACACATACATATAATATGTCAACAATAAATAAAAAATACAACATTTTGTCCAGACTTACATTGCCTAAAATGTAGTGCCTCAAAGCGTGTACTTATAATGGCTTTTTATACCCTCCGGACCGGAACACTCACGGTGTACTCACTGCTGCTTGACGGCAGAAAAATGTCAGAGCCTGGAGCCGCAGGAAAAGGAACCTTATCTCCATGACAACTGTGATGAAAATGTGAAATATTTGACAAATTTCATACCAGGGAATTTAATTTGTTAGGAAAATTTAAAGGTCAATGTTCCTATTTGTAATATTAGTTACATTTTATATTAATTAGATTAGAAACCAATAAACCAAACTATAAATCAGGGTTGGCGACCAGTGGCACGCGACACAATATTTCGGGCACGCCACCGATCATAAAATTCACTATGAAGTATTGAAAAAAAAATATTGAGAGGTAAAACAAGAGACCGCAGCAATAAGACCGCCTTTTTGTTGAATTCTTTTTCTGGGTTATCCAGACAACCCAGAAAAAAATTCAATAAAAAAAAAAGAAGAAAAAGAATAATGGGTGGGGTGCCCTAAAATATTTGAATTTTGAAAAAGATTTGATTTCATGGGTTTTAATTTTTTTGTGCGGAACTCTTCTAAAATAAAAGTTACTCTTTATAACATAAGCTATCTGCCAGTGAAGTTCACATCCAAATCGATTCACAGGTTTACGCG